CAGAATGCTGACTACCAAAATGCTGGGTTATGCTGTGCTGGGGTGGGAGACCAGCACCATGTGGATGCCAGGCAAGCACTCTACCAACTGAGCCATACCTCCAAGCCCCATGTGTTTTTACTTATTTTTTTTTTCATTTATGTATGTGTATGAAGGTGTGTGTATGCCATGGTATGTATTTGGAGGTCAGAGGTCAGCTTTCAGGAGTCAGTTTTCTCCTTCCACTATGTGGATCTTGGGGATCAAACTCAGGCTTGGCGGCAAGCACCCTTACCTGCTGAGCCATTTTACCAGCCCCCTGTGTGTTTTGAGACCTGTTTCCCCTGTGACTCACCCAAAGAAAGTCATTCTTTACGACGTACCCTATGTGGATTGTTGAGTTGTAGCTGCGTTCTGATTCCAATCGAGTGAAAGATTGCTCACACCTGAGAAGCCACTCGGCTGGCACTTGCCCTTCTCCAGCATTGTCCTGGCATCCTTGGATGGCAGGCACTCTATGCCTCGCCCTCCAGCCCTCCTCGCCCATGCTCTTCAGCTATCTGCTGAGTTAATGATTTAGTTTCTGAGTCACTAAGCACACACTTGGACAGTCAGTCAGGACACATACCTGAGACAAGCAGCTGAGGGCTGGAAATAGCCTGATTAGTATCTCCGTCCCTCCTAGCCAGGTAGCCTGGGAACAAAAGTTATGTTCTAGAAGAACTCGGTGTAGGCTGCATGCTTGAGTTGAGAGCAGCCGGCTCAGGTCTTAGAAATGGTGGCATGAGAGCTATGAGCTCGTATCCTTGAGCATCCTGGGAATCTGGACGGAGAAGGCTGATATGCATCAGTGGGTTGTCCGGGTCCAGTGCCAGCTTCTCTCCTAGCAGATGACATGGCACAGAAATGCAGCCTGAGGCTCTCGGGGGCTCATTGTCTGCATGCTTTCAGTGATTTGTGCACTGCTGTGGGGAGAGGCTGGAACCATCAGAAATGTTTCTGAAGGGTCACATCCCTGCACCTTGGCCATCTACAGGCCGGGACTGCTCCAGATGGATTGAGTTACTGCAGTGAGAACTTCAGCCATACTGGGGCTACCCTTGTCTACAGAGCTAGCCAATGACGCCACTGCAAATGAATTCCAGGCTCCTGGAATGGACGCTCTCTCCTTGATGCAGCACCAGAGCTGATGGGGTTGAAGACAAACCCCTTGAGGGCTTATTAAAGCTAAAAATTATACAGCGCTGAGGGTGCCGGTCAGTGCCACAGTGCTGCCCAAGTTCCTGGGTTCAATCCCCAGAAGGGCAGGGGAAAAAGTCAGGTGTGGTGGCTCATGTTTTTTAATTCTCAGGACTTGAAAGGCAGAGGCAGGAGGATTAGGAGTTCAAAGTCATCCTGCAGTATATAGTGAGTTTGAGACCAGCCTAGATTGCAGGAAACCCTGTCCTAAAGTCAAAGAACAGAGGAGGCGCAGTGGCTCAAACCTACAGTCCCAGCACGCAGGTTGGAGCCTCTGATCTGCACTGTACACTCCAGAACAGCCAGTGCTACGCAGTAAGACACCATTTCAAGAAAAAAACCAAATTGGGCCAGCGAGAAGGCTCTGTGGTAAAAATGCTTGCTGAGCAATGGAAAGAGAGAATGGACTCCTGAACGTCGTCCTCTGACCTCTACAGACACTGGCTCTAAGCTCATACAGACAGCACACATAAACACATACGCTTGAAAATCGTACTCATTACTTTGAATGCCAGCTTAAAAAATTAATGGGGGTTGGAGAGATGGCTCAGTAGTTAGAGTGCTGGCTTTTCTTGCAGAGGACCCAGGTTCGGTTCCAGCACTCATATGGTGGCTCATAATCATCTGAAACTCCATCCAGTTCCCCGGGACCCAAGGCACTTTTCTGATCTCTGTGGGCATGAGGCATGCACGTGGTGCACAAACATATGTGCAGGAAAAACACTCGTACATAGGAAATAAAATATAAGAGTAAATGAAAATTAAGGCAGCCTGAAGAGATGGCTCAGTGGTTAAGAGCACTGGCTGCTCTTACAGAAGACCAGAGTGTTTCATATGAAACTGTAGGTTTCTGGAATTCCCCCAAAAGTCAGAAGTGCAGACAGCCTTGGGCCTACACATACCCAAATGGTGTCTCTTGAGATGCTGAACCTCTGCTTTGGGGGTCCAGGGGCCCCCATTTTTCAGCCCCATCCAGCCTGTCTCACTCTAGCTCCAGGGCATTTGAACCAGCAAGAAAACTATTAGCATTATACACTCCTACCACTGCAGAGCGATGTTTGTTACATGAGATTTGTGTCCCTGAGTGAATGTCACATGTGTGTGGGTGCCCACAAAGGCTGGAAGAGGGCGCTGGATCCCTGGATCTGGAGTTACAGGCTGTTCTGAGCCACCAGACATGGGTGCTGGGAATCCAGTTTTTTTTTTTTTTTTGGTTTTTCGAGACAGGGTTTCTCTGTGTAGCTTTGCGCCTTTCCTGGTACTCGCTTTGGAGACCAGGCTGGCCTCGAACTCACAGAGATCCACCTGGCTCTGCCTCCCGAGTGCTGGGATTAAAGGCGTGCGCCACCACCGCCCGGCTTAAAGATTTATTTTATTATATATACAGTATTCTACCTGCATGTGTCCCTGCAGGCCAGAAGAGGGCACCAGATCTCATTACAGATGGTTATGAGCCACCATGTGGTTGCTGGGAATTGAACTCAGGACCTCTGGAAGAGCAGTCGGTGCTCTTAACCACTGAGCCATCTCTCCAGCTCCTGGAATCCAGTTTTGAGTCCTCTGAAAGCAGTCGTTGCTTTTAACCACGGCACCACCTCTCCAGCTAGCTCTCTACTACTGACATCCCAGCCCTGTTCACTTTTGAGATGGGGCGTAAGTTGTCCAGGTTGGCCTTGAAACTTGCCATCCTCCTGCCTCAGCCTACCCTGGTCGCTGGAATGACAGGCCTGTGCTACTGAGTCTGCCAACCATCCATGTTTTAAATCAGTTAACACAATGGTGGACATCTTCTCTCGGGTGCACTATCTACATTTCTTTTTCTTTTTTTTTTTTTTTTAAGATAGAGTCTTGCTGGGCAGCCCTGGCTGGCCTGGAACCAATGTGTTCTGCCTGTCTCTGCCTCCTGAGTGCTGGGTTTAAGGGCATGTGCTACCAAAATTTTTAAAATTTTCTGGGTATAAGTGTTTTGCTTGTTTGTGTGTCTATGTGCACAATGTTCATGCCTGGTCCCCTGGGGAGGTCAGAAGAGGGTGTCAGAGCCCCTGGAACTGGAGTTAGATAGTTCTAACTGCTATGTGGGTGCTGGGAATCCTCTCCAGTCTCCACTGTCTACATCTTAAACATGCAGGGTCACAGCGGCCTAGGCCACTCTACACGTAATCTGGAAATAAGGAGCTATCAGATAACAGTGTCAGAAAGCCTCACCACGGACGGGGTGGGTGAGACGGCTCTGCCATGGAGCCTCAGGGCTTCAACCCCTCTCACAAGTTGTCACTCCTAAGTGCACATGCATACTCACGTTAACAAATACAATTTAAAGCTGGCAGTAGTGGCGTACGCCTTTAATCTCAGCACTTGGGAGGCAGAGGCAGGCATATACGTAAAATTTAAAAAACAGAAACCCTAGTCTCAGCTATTCAGTTCCACAGGCCAAGAAATCTCACTGGCCTCGGGACTAACTCACCTCCAAAACAGAGCCTCTTGGTGCAGGCCCATGACTGCTCACACACAGTCCAGGGCCATAGGAAATAATCACCAGGTCTAGAAACTCACCCACAAGCAGCACCCAAGAGTATTCATACGGCCTTAGCAATATTCATACCGGCTTGGTGGTAAAAGTGCTTGCTGTTGAGACCATGGATCCTGGGAACTCATGTCGTAGGAGCGGACTTATTCCTGAGAGCAACCCTTTGACTCCATACACTTGCTGTGGCCCACCCAACCCTCCTCACAAAATAAAGGATACACTTACCTGAAAACCAACCCCAGCGTCTTGGGAGCCTGAGACAGGACAATGCTGAGTTTGAGATCAACCTGGGCTACACAGTGAGATCTCAAAACAAAACAACAACAAAAAAAAAACCCAAGAGACCATATGTGATGACACATGACTTTAATCCCAGCACTCAGGAAGAGGCAGGTGCGTCTCAAGAAGTTCAAGGCCAGTCTGGTCACATATCTAGTTCCATGCCCAAACCAAAAGGCTGGTGGTGCATGCCTGTAATGCCGACACCTGGGAGTGGAGGAAGGAGGGTCAAAAGCTAGATTCACGAGTTCAAGGCCAGCCTGGGGCTACAGGAAACTTTCCCAAAACAACTGCCAAGATAAAAAAACTGAAATCAAGTAACAAAAATTCAAAAGAGAAAACCAAACCGTACCTTTTGACATCTGGGCACTAGCCTCTGAGGACCCAGTGCACAGCGGGCAGAGGCAGGGGCATGAGTTTCAGGCTAACCTGGGCTACATGAGGAGCCCTTCTCTCACACGGCAGAGAGAACCAACTCCTACAAGTTGTCCTCTGACCTTCGCGAGCAAGCCGTGGCACACACACAAACACACGTGTGCTCATACACAAAATACCTTATCTAAGTTACGAATGGTCTACAGTTGGATCACAGAGCTCCAACTGCCTCTGCCTCCTGAGTGCTAGGATTAAAGAAAGGCATGTCACTACTCCTGGCCTAAAATTAAAAGAAAAAAAAAAAAAGAAACTAGTAACCCCAGGGACCGGGTACAATGGCATGTGCCTGTAATCCCAGCTCCAGGAGTCTGAGACCAGCCTGGACTGTTGGGTGAGACCTGTCCAAAAGAGAAAAACAAAACAGACGTTTGGTGTGTGGCTCAGGGTGGGGATGTGGCAACTGTGAGACCATGTGCTCAGCCCTTAGCTCTGGAAAAGGAAGTCAATAAACCAGCTGTGACTCAATCTTCCTCCTATGTACCTGATGGATGCTTGATAAATATTCTTAAGTACTCTTTTCATATAATTTCAAACAAGAAAGTAGCCTTTATACAAGTCCGTCTTTATTTGTAAAAAATAATATGTAACTAAAGCTAACTTGATTTTTAAAATCAAAGTTCATTTAGTGATAATGTACATTTTATAATAAAATTGTAGTAAAATACTGACATTTGATAGTTTAAACAAAGTATCATTCATGTAAAAATCATGTTATAGCATGTAAAATTTAATTAGAAAATTCATGGTTCACAACAGCACAGCATCATGTTGACATAGTTGACTGAGGACAGAACAGAATTCACAGTGAGGCTCGACGTTCAGGACAACAGAACTGCACGCTGAGCTGCCAACGCTTACACTCTTGTTATAAGGTGCATTAAGAACAAGCCAACGGGACTGGACCCCCATAACCAAGGCTCTCTGGCCTCACAGAATGTCTGCGGATCACTGACTGCACCAGTAAGACCTTGGTGCAAACACTACTGTCCTTTAAATTAAAATAAGCGCCAGCAGCCTTGATCTCCATTTTCAGACGGAAGATAAATCTGTGTTTTACAGTTAAAACTTGTACAAAAGTCAAGCCCTGAAGTATTTTCCCCAAGAGAAAACTTCTAATGTTAAAACTCTGTTAAAAAAAAAAAAAAAGAGAGAGAGAGACAGAGAAGAGAGAGGTAGTATGTGGAAGTAGTCTGATTTACAATCTTGAGCCTGTGTGCCACTTAGCTCGTGAATACAACTGAGCCTTCCATACCTAACGGTACCTTCCCGAGAGCCACACTGCGAAAACTCCCTCACGGTGTCAAAGCTGGAACACTGTCAGCAAGTGATGCTGTGGGAGAGGAAGAACGCGGTGAATTGAACACAAAGTCACTCGGCTAGGCGTCTGCAAATAACATGGTCAGTATCCATTGAGTCCAGCTCCCTTCACGGGATCAAGGCTTCCTTTCTGTCGGTTCGTACTATAGAGAAAAAAGGTCCTTCAACTCGGAGTCATCGGAGTCTTTGCTGCTGTAATAGTACACAACTGGGGTGTCCACACTTGCCCCACCACAAGGTTAAGTAATAAATAACTGTCTGCCTCAGGGACTCGGGACAGTCTGAGTCCACATGTGGATCGCGGTACCTGTGCATGCAATGCAAGGGCATTGGGTGAGGGAGGACAACCACTGGTCTCCTCCTCCTGAACACAGAAGAGAATAAATAACTCACAGAATTAACACCCCTTTGGGTGGTGAACTTGACACAGGCTCCCCGAAGTGCAGACAGCGCCCTAGAATCCCCAGGAAGAAAAACTCCATTTTTTGTATAAAAAAAGTGCACATTTGTCCTGTGTGTTAGTCTCTTAACCTGGGCTCCTTTTTATTCAACATGATCCACACTGTCTGGTATACTGGAAGAGTGTGGAGCACACGAACTGTAACACACACACACAAACACACACACACACAGACACAATTTCCAATGGACTGGGGGTGAGGAGGTTAACAGTGAAGGGACAGTCAGTAGGACTGAGGCACACACACGCACACGCACACGCACACAGACACACACAGGAACAATTTCCAATGGACTGGGGGTGAGGAGGTTAACAGTGAAGGGACAGTCAGTAGGACTGAGGCACACACACACACACACACATGTGCGCACACAGACACACACACAGACGCACACGCACATGCACACAGACACACACAGGAACAATTTCCAATGAACTGGGGGTGAGGAGGTTGAGGAGGTTAACAGTGAAGGGCAGTCAGTAGGACTGAGGCACCCTGTAACTGTGAAGCTACAGGATGGAGACAACAGGGGGTGCTCCAGGGCTGGGTAGTGGGAAGCACCCCTAAACATGGCCTTTAGTTAAAGTCTTAGAAAATAGGAAAACAGAACAAAACTGCACATGAAAAAATAATTTGTCACGATTAACTGAGGAACATTTTTAAAAGTCAGAATCCATCCATGTTGGGAATCCAAGAAGTGAGGTTCAGCGGACTAAGGAAGGAGACACCAGACTTCACAGAGGACAAACATCGCCTCTGCAGAGCAGGTGGAGGGAGACAGGGAGGAGAGCATCCAATGTTGCAGAGAGCAGCACCTCCCCTGCAGCAAAGGCCTCACACATGCACACTGCAGTCTGTCGGCAGTCACCCCCATCCAGCCACACTTTAGGCTTGCCCGTGGGACATCAAGGCCCGGAGGTCCCCTGTGTCAGTCTTGTGCCACTTTTATAGCACTTGGCAAACACACGTGGCAGTTCACAACGTTATGATCGTTCCGTCTTCCTCTAGGAGTCTCTGGTCCGGAGCACGGGGTTCAAACTCTGTGTCCAGGCTGCTGGGCACAGGCACCGGGTCCTGTGGAGGGGAGAACCCATTCTGCCCCGACTCAAAGCTGAGTTCTATCTGCGTCAGGGACTCGAGGCTTTGGGCATCGGGGGCAGCCTTCGGGATCTGCTGCGGCTCACCACTGTCTTCAATGATGATGTCGTCCTCATCGCTGTCCTGGTCCTCTGGCTCAAAGCTGGCTTCCACCTGCTGCGGGTAGCCCAGGAGGCTGTTGTCGGTGGACTGGCTGGAGCTGCCGGAAGTCCGACTGTTCCTGACCACGTTGTTCCTCTGGTTAGCTGGCCGCACAGTGATGATGAGGTTGCGGCTGTTGGCTATCATCATGTCAGTCACTTGGTCCAGGCTCTTCCCTGACACCTCTATACCATTTACTTCTAACACTTCGTCATTGACAGCTAGCAACCCTGTGCTCTGGGCCAGACCCCCGGGGACAAGCCTCGATATGAAGATCCCGGGGACTTTCTCTAAGCCATGTGGTGTCACCCGGACGCTGGAACCGTCGCGGATGTAGAAGCCCAGGGGCTTCTCCGTGCCATACTTGTACAGACGGACCCTTCGGTGGGTCTCCGGGAGGATGTCCACATCTATGATGGATGACACCGGGCGGAAGTCCTGGGGCATGCTGATGACGATGTGGGGCTTCTTCCTATGGTTGTCAGGACGCAGTACGTTGCTCAGCACGTTCTTCTTCCTGATTAGGGTGTCTGTACCAAAGGCACTGTAGTCAGCTTCTTCTGCTCGGAGGAAACAAACACAAGACAGTTACAGAACCGCTGGAACACGTCTGACCACAGTAGACCTGGCAAAGGGTGACACCAGCCAACGCACATGCTACATCGAGATCAGAGGTTGAGTGTTAGCTTAGCCAGACCACAAGGACTGCAAGGGTGACTGCCATGCCATAAAGAAAACGCTAGAGGGCCCTCTCAGACATATCTCCAAGGTCACTACCTACTGAACATGAACTGGCCAGTGAAATTCTGACACAGCCAGGCCTGGCCTACACATCTGTCATCCCAGGGCTCAGGAGCCTACTACGGCAGGAGATAGAGGCTCTATCTCAAGTTCATGGCCAGCCTGAGCTACATCACAACAAGTTTGAGGCCAGCCTGGGTTACAGCGTGAAACCCTGTCTCAAACTCTAAAAACCAAAACAACAGCAACAACAAAATAAACTGTGGTTGATCTTCCAGGCTCACGTTTCCTTTTCTCAGGGAGAGAGGCTCACTGCTAGGCTGGCCTCAGCCGCCCAGGCCTGAGACACTTGACTACGGATGGTAGTATGTCACCACTCCTGGCTACAACTTCACCCCACAATTTGCCCATGGATGGGGTTTGCCTTGTATTCAAGGCAATCCTCCTGCCTCGGCCTCCTAAGAGCTGGGATTACAGGATGTGCCACAATGCTCAGCTTTGCTTTTTTTTTTTGGTTTTAGAGACAGGATTTCTCTCTGTGTAGCTGGCTGTCCTGGAATTTACTTTGTAAACTCACAGAGATCCTCCTGCCTCTGCTTCCTGAGTGCTGGGATTAAAGGTGTATGCCATCACTGTCTGGCTTCATTTTTTTTTAAATTTTTTATGTACACTGGGGTTTTGCCTGCATGTCTATCTGTGTGAAGATGCCAGATCCCCTGGAACTGGAGTTACAGGCAGTTGTGCACTGCCATGAGGGTGCTGGGAACTGAATCCAGGTCTTTTGGAAGAGTGGCCACTGCTCTTAACCTCTGAGCCATCACGCCACCCCCTACAAACTCATTTTTAAAAATCAGCTTGGCCTCGCAGGATGGCTCAGTGGTCAGTTAACTGCTGCCAAGCCTGATGACCTGAGTTGGTTCCCAGGACTCACATGGCAGAAAGAATCAACTCTTGAGCTGTCCTCCGACCTCCACAAGCACACTGTCGGCACACATGTACACTGGGCACAGTGGCTCACCCTTGCAATCCCAGCTCCTGTGCAGCAGAGGCAGGAAAACCAGGAGCTCAAGGGCAGCCAGCTACATAGAGAATTCAACACCAGCCTGGGCTACATAAAACCTTCTCAAAAAAAAAAGAAAAAAAAATATATATATATATTTTGGTTTTTCGAGACAGGGTTTCTCTGAGTAGCTTTGTGCCTTTCCTGGATCTCACTCTGTAGACCAGGCTGGCCTCGAACTCAGGAAGATCCTCCTGCCTCTGCCTCCCGAGTGCTGGGATTAAAGGTGTGCGCCACCACCGCCTGGCCAAAAATATTTTTTAACTTAAAAATATTTACATGTATTCGAGTCTTGCCTGCATCTATGTATATGCACCACATATGTGCCTGGTGCCCTCAGAGATCAGAAGAGGGCATTGGATTCCCTGGAACTGGAGTTATAGACAGTTGCAAGCCATTATATGGGTGCTCAGGATAGAACCTGGGTCCTCTGGAAGAACAGCAAGAGCTCTTAACAGCTTAGCCATTTCTCCAGCACAAATAAAAATCATTTGCGCCGGGTAGTGGTGGCGCATGCCTTTAATCCCAGCACTCGGAGGCAGAGGCAGGCGGGTCTCTGTGAGCTCAAGGCCAGCCTGGTCTACAAATCAAAGACAGCCAAGGCTACACAGAGAAACCCTGTCTCAACCCCCTCCCCAAAATAATTTTGCACCAACTTCTTAAAAATAATACATTTCTTAGCAGGGTGGGGGTGTCGTATGCTTTTAATCCCAGCAACTGGGAGGAAAAGGCAGGTGGATATCTGTGAGTTCAAGGTCAGCCGGGGTCTACAGAGCAAGTTCCAGGACAGCCAGGGCTACACAGAGAAACCCTGTCTTGAAAACAAACAAAAAAAAATCTTGAGATATGGTTTCCCTCTGTAGCCTAGACTCGGTCCTCACTGTGTGCGACAAACTGGAGCAGTCCTCCTGCCTCTGCTTTTGCTGTGCTGGGATCATAGAGTTGTCTCAACATGTCCGCTTAAAACGGCCCCTTTAAATTATGTTTTCTTGGGGTTGGGGATTTAGCTCAGTGGTAGAGAGAGCACTTGTCTATAGCAAGCACAAGGCCCTGGGTTCGGTCCTCAGCTCCAGAAAAATAAGTAAATAAATAAATAAATTAATTAATTAAATTATGTTTTCTTTCATTTAATTAAAACACCTCCACTTTGCACATTTATTATATCCAAAACAAGGACTGGGGAAAGGTACTCATTCCAAGGAAATCAGGAGAGCGAGATGGCTAGGGTGTGACAGGCAGGAAGGGCACCTGCCTTGAACTGGTGAGGCCCTGGGTTCAATTTCAGCACGGGAGGCTAGAAGGATGGGAGGGAAGAACCTGACCCATGCATCAACACCAACAGCTTAATTAAGTGAAGCAAGAATGTAGCAAATACTTGGACCAGTCGCCTCTCAGCAAATAAAACTCCCTTCTGCCCCATGGGCTCTTGATTCTCTCACTTCCTACTTGGCAGAGTGTGCCGTCAGTGCTGTGACAGACTGGGGTGGGGGTAGTAAGGACTCGGGCAAACTTGGAGCTCCTGTTCCATTTAAATCCCACTGTCTCTCTGTTCCCGACATTCCCCACCCTCACCCCCCACGATGGAAAGCCTCTTTCAGGTAAAGCTTCATTTTTGGCTGGTGAGATGGCTCAGTGGTGAGGGTGCCTGCTGACAAGTCTGATGACCTGAGTGTGAGCCCCACCCCCATAAAGTAGAGAGAGCCAACTCCTGCAAGCTGTCCTCTGACCTCACTTGTACACTGTGAGACACACACACACACACACACACACACACACACACACACACACACACTAAATATAAAGAAGAAGAAAAAATGCTGATACCTACTAAGTAACAACAAAAACATGTTTACTCCTGCACCTGCAGCTGAATTAATTCCTCAAGCCAGCCGAGTCTGTCACATGCTAGAGACACCGCTGTCACAAGGTGAAGGCGGAAAACTCAGAGGAGACATCAGGATGAAGGGCAATACGGAGAAGGAAGTGAGCAAGCAGCAGGAGAGCTGAAGGCCACGTCAGGGCTGGGCTTGGTGTGCAGGCCTAGACTCCCAAGGCTGGAGAGGCTCAGAGGGAACACTGAGCCCAGGCTGGGCTGCACCAGGGACCTTATCTCAAAGAACAAAGCAAAAACCTAAACCAACCAACTGAGCAAAAGCCAAAATCAAAACTAACTGGGAACACGGTCAATCAACAAAATATACTTCAGTAACAGGAGTACAGGGCTCGGGACACGGGCAGACTCAGGAGCCCAAGGCCATCTGTCCTCAGCTACCCAATGAGACCACTCTGGGCTATACTGCACTTGCTCAGAAAACCCAAACTTCTCATGAGCTCCTTCATTTCCCAAACATAACTAGTTGGAAATTCTCATTTCCTGGAGGCTAGAGACAGCCTGGGCCCTGCAGAACTCCAGCTAGCTGCCTCCTCACAGGACCTGCCCCTCAGCCAGGGACACCCCATCATTACCTTCAGTTCTTAGCCCAGGGGATTAGGAGTACAAAATAATCTGAGACAGGGCGAACCCAGGTTTCATAGCTGGACCAGTAACTTCCAGGTTCCCACCATGAGGGTCAGGTATGGACGCCTGGGGGGTGGGGGGGTGGCGCGGGAGTGTCTGGCTCCTCTTCTCAGGCCGTGTCAACAGGACCAGGGACGCCATGCCTTGGCACCCCCACCCATACCCTCTCACCAGGAGTCTGCTGTGTCCTTAGGCAAGAAATTTGCTTTATAGTTTGGTTTGAGAAATAGATCCATTGAAGCAGGGGGTTTTGGCAAAGTCTCGCTAAAAGCCGTTAGGATTAGTCTTACACTGAACTGTTTATTTCAGAACAACAACCAATAGCAGAAGCCTGCGTAACATGTCCAGGGAAATTCCAGACCACAAAACTGAGAAAGCCACCAAGCTGCCTACATGCCTGCTCATGGGAAACCCTACCGAGAAAACCCAAATCTGCATAATTTGGCACGGCCTAAGACTCCCTCTGAATGTTCGCTCTAAATTCTCAGAAGCACTGGGCCCACACAAAGGCACCTCTGTTCTCCCCCCCAGCTAATCAGTTTCCAGCCACTGGGAAAGAAACAGGCTGGCAGCGGGCCAGGGCGCAGGGTGTGAGTGTAAAGTGTAAAGGTGACCGTCCAGGAGGGCCCAGCTGGAGGCCGAGGTCACTCCCAGAGGCCATGGGAGTCCCACAGATCCGCAGCAGACCTGGCCCGGGCCATACAGGAACACCCCATGGAGAACTCTGTCCCTCAGCCAACAATCTCTGCTAACTGCCCTTGACAAGGACCCACCCAGAAGCTTCTGGGCCGCCAAATGGGATATCTTCTTCACACACAGGCTCCCAGCTTTACTAACATCGAGCCCTGCAGGGCCTCTCTCTGAGCCGAGACCTCTTTAGTTCTGGGAGCTGGCTCCCTCATCTGAGCTCGCTGAGGGCCCAGACTCATGCACTCCGAGTGAGGGTGAGCCAGGGCCCACTGTGATGATGGCAGCAGAAGAAATGTCACAGTGAACAGAAAGCAAGCTTGGCAAACAAAAGCCTCAGCATGGCACCAAGCATTCCCGGAGAGGAGACCCCAGCAAACACACGGTACAGTCCTCAGGAGGCTCAAGAGCGTGTCCCACTGGAAGTTCAGAGGAAGACAGGGCAGCTGGGCCTGGTGGCATGGCCTGTAATGTCAGCTCCTCGGAGGCTGAGACAGGAGGACTGGCCCCAGGCTGGAGACCTCATGGAGAGACCTATCTCAAAATAAAACAGA